CAAGGGGGTGCGGGGGGGGCAGAGGGAGTGAGGGGGGGCATGTCATTTCTCCAAATGCCCAATCTCCTTGAGCATCTTGTCATTTCATCGGCTAAAGCTGTAGCTTTGTCTTGTGGGTGTCCTCAGACTGGGGCCCCCACAGGCCCCTTCGATGCATCCTCAGGGCAGCGGTCAGCTTTGACTACACACAGACAGGGGACAGGGTCTTTAGTTAGGTAGCTGGAGAGGACGCTGAGTCCCCCCTGTGGTCTCTCTCCTGCGGCCTCTGGGGGCAGGGCAGAGCATCAGGGTTTGCCTGTGGAGGATTGAGACCTGCTCTGCCACCCATTCCAGCCAAGGACCAAGTGTCACTGTCCCAGGCCTCCCCTCCCACTTCCCGCGCGGGGCCTGGGGTGTGGGGAAGTGGGCTGGGGGCAGTGGGGAAGTTCTCACTCTTCCCACCTGGCTGAGGGCTGTAGCATTCCAACCTGATGCTCCTCACTCTGGACGGTGACCAAAGTTGCAGCTCAAATGCCACCAACACCCGCGGGCTGGCCTGCTAGACGTTCACCCTCAGCCTGCTTCATTCAAGCACGGCAACAAAGCAGGCCAGACCTCCCTCCCTGCTTCCCTTCACCAAGGCAGAAACGTCTCTCAGGCTCCTTCCGGGGTCTTGCTGGTTCCCTCTACAGTCAGATTGTTCCCTGGAACCCCTCAGCCTTGAGTGAAGCAGACGCAGCTGACGTCCGCCACCTTTGGCAGTGGACAGGTTTTAGCTGTTGGGAGACAGAAGGGGAGAGACTGCAGCAGCGCAGTAGGACAGCCCCAGAGCGCACAGAGCACGGAGAAAGGGCGTCCCCGGGGCGATGTGTAGGGAATTAGATGTCTGGCCCGTCAGGCGGCCTCTCCTCCACCTCCCAAGAACATGTGCAATCTCGTCGTGACTCGGCCTGCATGTAGAGTTGCACCTGCACTGGCTCTCTGAAATCTAACCACGAGCTGAACATGGCCTCCTGCTGTGCAGAGGGAGAAAACAAGATGACCCAGAAGGAGATGCACGATGCTGGTGAGGTGGCGGATGGAGAGTCAGTACTGTTCAGGGCTTTTTAGACCTATGATCAGGGATCACACACACACACACACACACACACACACACACACCAGGTGGCAATCCATGAGGGAGAGGGTTGGAGCAGAAGTAGAGCATTTTGGGGTGAGGTATCCAGGAAGCTTTCAGGTCTGCTATGAGGCTGGGGGGGACCACCTGGCTGGAGAACATGGCCCAAACCAAGGTAGAAAGGACCGTGATTGAATAAGAATAGGTGAAGGGGGGTCATTGCAGGCCAGCCCAATGGACAGGGCAATTGCTGAAGACAAAGAGGGGGTGACTGTCAGGCCAAATGTACTAGGAACCAGGAGCACCTAAGGTCTAGCCTGCAGACAGTTTGACTGCGACCCTCCCATGCTTCCGGGCTCCCAGGTTTGTTCCTACCTGGCCAGGGAGGCCAGGATCTGCGCACAGGGAGACCCGAGACCTCTGCCCCAGGGGGCAGCTCACTTCAGCCTCTGTCCCCTGCAGATCCCTACTGAGCAACGTCCACTTCCTGCTGCTGGTCTTCCTGAAGGTGCCCCTGTTTCTGAGCATGCTCAGTGCTGTCCTCTGGGTGAACAGGCCTCAGAGGAGCTCGAAGTGGAGGGAGAGCCAGCAAGATGAGAACCAGTGGTCCTGACGCCCACCTGTGCCCTCCAGCATGGAGAAGACCCTCCTGTAGAAGACACAACATCCTCCTCCTCCTCCCCTCCTCCTTCTCCTCCTCCTCCTGTTGTGGGGCTTGAACTCAGGGCCTGGGCACTGTCCCTGAGCTCGTTTGCTGAAGGCGAGCACTCTACCACTTTGAGCCACAGCGGCACTTCTGGTTTTCTGGTGGTTTATTGAAGCTAAGAGTCTCATGGCCTTTGCTGCCCAGGCTGGCTTTGAACCGTGATCCTCAGATCTCAGTCTCCTGAGTAGCTAGGATGACAGGTGTGAGCCACTGGTGCCCAGCTGACAAACCATTTTTAGGCAGAGCTGTGACTGGCTTCTGGAAGAGTCTTCAGCGCTCCCTCCTGAAGCCACGACACCCAGGCGCTGTGGGACTGACTCGCTCGGGCTCCCTTTCCTCGGAGGCGAGGCCTGCCTGGGCCCGACTCCCCCCAAGGCCTCCATGACTGTGGGAACACAAGGAGAGGACCTCCCTGGGGCTCTGGCTCCGTGGAGGACGCCTGACATCTCAAGTCTCTGGGTCGCCTGCAATGTGAGTGGATTCTTCGAGCAGAGCTCCAGGGCTGGCAGCCAATGGTAGCCTTCTACTGCCCGGGGGGAGGAGCCAGTGCATCCCCCTCCTCCTGGGCCCGAGGGCCTAAGGGTGAGAAGGGACGCCTCCCTTTCTGCTGCTTCTGTCTGGGGCAGATGGGAGACCCAGAGTCACCCCCAAACAGAAGAGGAGATCAGCTGTAGCCTAGGCTAGCTGGGGGGGAGGGGGGAGGCGGGGGGAGGGACTAGCTTGGAGATGACTTTTGGAGAGCCAGAGAGCTTTGACTTGTCCAGGAACTGAGCAGGACACCCGGGAGCTACTTCCATCCAGAGAAAGGATGGAGGGGAAGACGGGGCAAGGGAAGAGGAGGAGCGGGTTTTCTTGTCTCTCGGCCTCCTCCCTTGGACTCTGACTCCCAGGTAGACTCGGGACTAAAAAAGAGGCGGCCACCAGAGAGAAGGGGCAGGTGTTCAGGGCAGGGAAAGTCACCTGCATCCTGGCCGGGAAGGTACGGCTGCAGGGTGCGCCGGCAGGGTGACACTCAGGGAGGACTCTGCCAAATACCAGGTGATATGACCTAACCAAGTGACACTGGAGTTTGCAATCACAAGACGGAGCACAGTGACTCATGCCTATAATCCCAGCTATGTGGGAAGCATAAGGCCTGCCTTATGCTTCTGAAAAATAATAAAAGCCAAAGGCTGAGGGAGTGACAGAAGTAGAACACCTGCCCCATTGTGTGTGTGGGGGGGGTGGATTCAACAGGGGCGGGGCCTTGGCATCGCCTGCCTCGGTCTCTGGGAACCGTGGCCTCTTCCCAGGAAGCGACCTGAGGAGTTAGGACAGAAGCTTCCATTCCTTCTGGAAGCACCAGTCCACGGCGCCTGCGCGCTCCCTGGAGGGCCGGTCTCTCTACACAACATTAACCAAAGAATGACTAAGCAGCTACAGATTCGAAGACAACCACTCAGCTAGAAAATGAGGAAGACAGTACTTACCCAGACCCCGGGCTCCCCCTTGCTGGGCTCTTCCTGTTCCCTCTGAACTGAGCCTCTACCCCGCAAGGCTTTCTCCCCCTGCCCACCCTCCCCCACAGACCGCCTCACCCACCCTCAAGACCCACGCCTCGCTTCCTGCCGGGGCTGAGTTCCCACATTAGCATCTTACCTCCAAAGAAAAAGAAAACCTCTGTACAACAGCTTAATAACGTTTAAAAACAAAAGCCAAGGCGTCTCACTTTGTAGTTCAGGCTGGCCTCAAACTCCAGATCCTCCTCTCTTAGCCTCCTCAGTGCTGGGATTACAGGCCTGTACCACCACACCCGGCAGATTCTTACGTGTAAGGGGACATTGCAATTCCCTGCTGAGGATGCCTTAAAGAGGAGGACCCTCTCCTCTCCCCCTCTCTCCCCCTCCTCTTCCCAGTACTGATTTTCCTGGTGCAGTATTTTGTTGTTGTTGTTGGCAGACATGACATTCATATTCTCTTCTGTAAATATTTCCCACGACGTGGTTTCTTTTTTCCTCCGTTTATAAATGGATTCGTGGCTCAGCACAGCTTCTCTCTCTCCATTGCTTCACAGGTGGCTTTCTTGGGGAACCAGTCACCATGTGGGGGTTCTTTATTTAAAGGGCCGGTGGCGCCGTGTCTCCTGTCTCCTCCCGCGTGAGGCTGGCGCGCGGTCACTCCGGTAGGAGAGCCGCAGGGCCGTTTGCCTTGTGCGCACAGCCCCCCTGTCTGCTGGGACGCATGCCACTGGCCTGGGAAGCGGCCCATTCCTGTCACAGGCCCGATTTGAGCTTTTAGATTGGCAGCTTGGACCTTCTGTGACTTCAGAATATTCTAGATGTCCCCCTGCCTGGTGGGGAAGGAGGGACGGGTGGCTTTGCAGCTGCAGATTGACTGAAGCTTCCATTGATCTCCTGGGCTCTTCCTCTGAGCTTTTTCATTCAAGCGCTCTACCATTGAGCCACAGCTCCACTTTCAGCTTTTTGGTGGTTAATTGGAGGTAAGAGTCCATTGGACTTTCTTCCCTGGGCTGGCTTTGAACCATGGTCTTTGGATCTCAGCCTCCTGAGTAGTTAGGAGTAGAGGTAAGCACACCAGTGCCCAGCCCTTGTTTGAATTTTTAAATGTTTTTTGGGGGCTGGGGAGGACAATGTTTGCTTTTATGACACATGTTCTTTATTTGTCAGTGACTTGCATTATTTCCCTCTCTCCTATTTTATTTATTCATTTTTGTCGGTTGTGGGGCTTGAACTCTGGGCCCGGGCACTGTCCCTCAGCTCTTCAGCTCAAGGCTAGCGCTCTACCACTTGAGCCACAGTGCCACTTCTGTTTTCCTGGTGGCTCATTGGAGATGTCTCATGGACTTTCCTGCCCGGGCTGGCTTTGAACCATGATCCTCAGATCTCAGCCTCCTGAGTAGCTAGGATGACAGGCGCCCAACTTTCCTCTCTTTTAATCTAATGAATATGCTAATGAGGTGGTAGGTCCCTTGGACTAGAGCTTGGCTTTCTATCAAAGATGGAAGAGGAAGTGGATGAGGAGGGGCTGTGATGGATCAGCCCACGGCAACTGTCTAGGTTTGTGACCTGGAAGCACTTCCACCCAAGGGCAGGGGCCATGTGGGTCGTCAGCTATGCAGAAGCTGTGTGTACAAACTTAGAACTATCTGTTTGGCAAACTAATGCTCCTTTCTCTCCTCTGTCTCCTTCATCTCCCTCACCTACACCCGTCATTTCTACCTAGGTCACATGGGATCTACCTATATTAGCTGCCAATCAGCCATGAAGATAAAACATTGGTAATACCAGCCGGGCACCGTGGCTCATAGATGTAATCATAGATACTCACAAGGTTGACATTGAGAAGATGGTGGTTTGAGTCTAGCCCAGGTTAAAAAAAAAAAAAAAGTTTAGGAGACCTCATCTCAATAAAAAGCTGTGTATGGTGGCAGCATCTGTCATTCCAGCTGTTTGGGGAAGCATAAATAGGAGAATCACCATTCAGGCCAGCCACATCATCAACAGAAGACTGTATTTTATTATTTACCAGTCGTTCTGGGCCTTGAACTCTTGGCACTGGGCGCTGTCCCTGAGCTTCTTTGGCTCAAGGCCAGCGCTCTACCTCTTGAGACACAGCGCCACTTTCAGGCTTTTCCTTTTTATGTGGTACTGGGGAATCGAACCCAGGGCTTCATGCATGCTAGGCAAGCACTCTACCACCAAGCCACCTTCCCAGCTCTGAAGACTCCATTTTAAAAAGAACAAAAGAAGGATTGTGGGTATGGCCCAAGGGGTACGATGCCTGGCACCCTGCACTTCCAGCTCCAGCTGGTGAGGGCGGGCAAGGCAGGCGGGGTGAAGGAAGGGAGGTGGAGGAGAGGAGATCCGCGAACCCCAAATGCCCCCTGCCCACAAAGACTAGAGGGATGCAGGGATGGACTTGTGTTGTTCCCCCAAAATGCCACCAGAGGGCAGCAGAGCCCGGGGAGCCACGTGGCGCTCGCTCTCACCTGTCTCCCTCCCCCCTCCCCTCCCCTCTACAGGCCAGGTACCCTGGGGGTCTCCCAAGCGTTAGGTAAATTAAACGGGTAGGTTTCATTGGGTGGCCGATGAAGAGAACACAGCGCGGTATTCAGGCAGGAAGAGAAGCTTACTACCCAGCATTGGCGCTGCGGTCCCGCCGGGGTTGAAGTAGGGAAGGGGGCGGGGAGAAGCTGCGGCCACCGCTCCCTCCGTCCCGGGGGAGGCGGGGCAGGGGCGGCCCAGGATGTGCCGGCAGGTAGGTGACAGGTCGGGGCGGAGACCGCCAGCAGGAGCGGAGGCCTGCGCCTGCGTGGCCCGGGGCAGCGCTCGCCGGGGCGATCCGGGGACACTAGTGCTCAGCGGCCGTGGTGGGAGTGGGGTGTCGCGGGCTCACCTTGGCCAGGAAGCAGGGAGTAAACAAACGGCCGCAGGGAGAGAGAAAGAGGTGTGGGGACAACGTCCCCGCCTTGCTTGTGAATTTGGCGCGCTGGGCGGGGCCTTCGCCTGCTGGAGGGGGGGGAAGGCCCTGGCGCACTGGGCGGGGCCTGGCATGCTGGACGGGGGGCCCTGGCGCGCTGGGCGGGGCCTTCGCATGCTGGACGGGACCTTCGCATGCTGGACGGGGCCTGGCGCACTGGGCGGGGCCTGGCATGCTGGGCGGGGCCTGGCGCAATGGGTGGAGCCCTGGCATGCTGGGCGGGGCCTGGCGCAATGGGTGGAGCCCTGGCACGCTGGGCGGGGCCTGGCGCACTGGGCGGGGCCTGGCATGCTGGGCGGGCCCTGGCGCACTGGGCGGGGCTCTGCCCCTTTGGCTCCTGTGTTGCCCGGGTAACCAGGACTCACCGGAGCAGAGCATGGCCTCTGGGGACCGCAGGAGTTGGGGTAACACCCTGCCACAGAGTGCAGCCCCACCAGTGAGTGCACTGAGCCGGGAATCAGAGTCTGCCTTTACTGGGGTACCTTGGAGCTGAAGGGCTGCATTCTGAA